TCCCCTGTCGTGCTGATATGAGCCCTCATGGGAAGCTGCCCATTTCTTTATGGGAATTCAGGAGAGCAGCACTGCACCCAGCAAGTCCTCAACTGTTTAATGCTCATTATTCAATTGTCCAATGCTTCCCAGTGCTTGGAACAAGGGGATTTTGTCATCACGCAGGCACTGCAAGGGTTAAGGCTGCCCCTGCCTCGGGACTCACCCAGGCTGGGCTGATCCTTGGCCATCCCTGTCTCCCTTTGTGAGGAGTTACTTCCAATGGAAAAGATAAACCTGTGTTCTTCTCCTCATGTTTTTTTTTTTTCCTCTTGCTATTTAAAAATAATTTAATTAAAAAAAATAAAACCTATCAGAAATATTAAAAGAAAAAAAAAAAATGGAAGAAACCAACAGCTTCCCAACAGAGCTCCAGAAACCAACAGAGTCCCCAGAGACTCTGATCCCCTCTAAACCCTGCACAGCCCCACAGATTACCCTGCTTCTGGATCCTCTGTCTTCCAGACACCCTGGGAAGCCCAGGATACCCAGATATCATCGGGATACCCCCTGAATCAGAGCGGGTGCAGCCGTTTTTGTGACCCTGATTGCGATTAAGGGAGGCAGGGGTGCATTTCCAGCGAGGACTTGCCAGGAGATGGGAGCAGGGCTGGAGGAGAGGGGAATGCAGGAGGGAGAAAGCAGCGTGGCCCTGCGCCCAGGTGACAGTGACAGTCCGAGCACACCCAGCACGGCTGCACATCAGGCAGCTGATGAGGTTAGAGAGGTCCCGGGCCGCTTTCCCGTTCCCTGAGGCCATGGAGGAATTATCCCATCCCTGCCCAACACCAGGCATCCCCCGCGCTGTGAAACCGCTGCTGGAGCCACCTAGGCCGAACTCTGAGCCCCATCCCCGGGGCCAGGACACCTCCAGAGAGGGCTCTGTCCCCTGGCCTGCACGGAGAGACACAAAGCTCATCCCCGACATAAACCATGGGGCACAGGGGTGGTGCAGCTCCCCGGAGCTGGGGACGTCACAGAAGGCAGGGCCACGGCCATGGGTGCTGCGGGGGGAACGTGCGTGTGCAAGGCTTGGCTTGGTGTGTAACAGGGATGGGGAGAGAGGATTTGGGCTGCGAGTGTGAGCAGGGGCCGCGCACACGCGCGGAGGAATGCGGGGATGTACGGGGCGGGCGGGGAAGGGAGGGGAGATGCGGGAGAGGCTGAGGAGGACAAAAAGCTCTGCGGGCGGCCAGGGGGACACCCCCAGCCCCAGCCCAGGGGGGGACACCCCGCAGGCGGCCCCTGCTCGCTGTGCTTCGGGCGGGCGAGCGTGCAAGGACAGGAGCGTTCGCACAAATGCCCGAGCGTCGCCTCTCCGTGACACTCGGGGCTTCGTTCTCGCCGTGAGCTCCCCCCCACCCTGCGCTGGCACTCGGCGTTTTGGGGTCGTTTTTCATCGTTTTTAAAGTGAAAACAAAAAAACAAAACCCGCGCTGAGATCCCGCCTGTCCCAACGGATCCTGGGGTCCTGGGCAGCGCAGCCCCCTCCCCTGGGGATGAAGGAGTGGGGGGCATCGCGGGGGTCCGGTGGGTGTCTGATAATTCTATGGAGGTGTTCCCCAAATTTCCAGTCTTTCTGTGGGAGAAGGGAAACGAGGAGTGAGAGAAAAACAGAGAGTGGCAGAGAGATCGGAAGGGAATGTGTGTGAAATGAGAGGGGAAAACGAAAAATAGAGCAGCAGAGGGTGTGGGAAGAGAGAAAGGAGGGGAGAGAAAGGGAGGAAGAATCGAGAGGAGAAAAGAGAAAGAATTGAGGGAGGAAAAAGGAAAGGAGGCAAATAAAAAAAAAGAAATTGAGGGAAAACGGGGGGAAGAACAAAAGGAAACAGGAAAAATAAAATGAGAAAAACACAGGGAAAATGTGAGAGAAATAGGTGGGAAAAGAAAAATAACAACAACAAAAAAAAAAGAAATAAAAGAGAAAAACAGGGAAAACCACAGAAAAACAGAGAAATACAGAAAACCAGGAAAAATAAAGAAAACGGGGAGAAAATAAAGAGGAAAAAAGGAAAACCAACCAAGGGGGGAAAAAAAGAAAAGCAAAGACGGGAAGATCGAGGTGGAGAGCACGAAGGCGATGGGGAATGGGGCAGGGTGCGGGGCAGCCGTGCCCGGTGCCCGCGGGACGGGGCGAGGGCCAGGGCCGGGCCCGGCGAGGTTCAGCACCCTGGAGAGCTCCCGGGGACACCGGGGACACCGGGGACACCGAGCGGGACGCGGCGGGACCGCGATCCCAGCAGGGCTCCCCATGCCGGGGCTCAGCCCTGCTGAAAGCATCGCTGCCACCTCCGTCCTGCCGCGGGGCTCCTCTGCCACTTGGGACGTGCAAGGCAAGGAGCGGCATCCCTGCTCCGCTTTCCCCCTGCAGAGCGCCCCGAGCCCCTCCCGTGGAGCTGCTCCCCCTCCTTTGCCGGCATCCTTCGCTCTGCGTGGCGTCTGTCCCCCGGTGTGCCCCCCCTGTGTCCCCCTGTGTGTCCCCTGTTTGTCCCCGGTGTGCCCCCGCTGTGTCCCCCGTGTCGCGCCCCCATCCCGCCCGCAGGTGCGGCCCCAGCTCTCCCCCTCCCGTTGCCCAAACAACCCCAGGGGAGGGAGGAGGACCCCGAGGGGCGCAGCCTCAGGGGGTCACCGCACGCCCCGACAGCTTTGGGGGTCCCGTGTGCGGGGTGAGACCCCCGCCAGTGCCCTGCTCAGCCACGACCCCCGACGGGAGCACCGGGGCTCCCTCCCTGCCCTTCCCTTCCCTTCCCTGCCCCGTGTGCCCCCCGAACCCCCCCGCTCCCAGGGCGGGCTCCCCACGCACCGGGCTCGCTCCGTCCCGCCGCTGCTGCGCGGAGCTCCGCGGTTGCCGCCGGCTTTTCTCATGCAGATTCCCTCTTTCACACCTCCCAAACAAAAGCAAACGGGGGCATCGCCTCGCCGTGTCAACACACACGCTCATTAGCGGGGAGGCGGCGGGGGGAGCGGCTGGGAACGGCTCGAGCAGCCCCTCCGGGGGGGCGGTCGCATCGACGGGAGGTTGGAGCGGGCCGGGGATCACCCGAGGAAATTTGGAGCGAGTTCTTTGCCGCATGCCCCTCAAGTCACTAAGTTTCCCAAGGTGTGCGTTTGCCCGTCTCCCTCTCGTTTCTGTCAGCGCAGGCTGCTCACGGCCGGGCTGTGCCCACCCGCGGCTCCGCGCAGAGCGGGACCCCAGCCAGGGCCGGCTTAGCCCCGGGGAAGCGTCGGGGCGGTGGGAATGGGGGTCCCGGCATCGTGCTGCAGCCAGGAGGGGCTGGGGGTGCAATTAAAGCTTCGCCAATTACCGCAACCCGCGGGGAAAAAAAAAAAGGGGACTGGTTAAAATGGCTGTGGAGAAGGATGGGGGATGTAGAAATGTCGAGGGGAGCAGGGCAAAGCAGCACCTGGCTCGGTCCTGGCTGCCCCCAGAGCCGGGAGCAGCAGCCCCGGCCGGGGTCCCGCGGGTCTCGGGGCGCTCCGGGGACCGCGCTGCGCTCCGAGCCCGCACCGACGGCTCTCCGAGCTCCACCAGCCGCTTCTCTGCCCCCGCTCCAGATATTTGTGTCTTCACTTTGGTTTGGAATTTATTTATTTTCCATTTTTTTTTTAATTGTTGGTGTGGTTTTGTTTCGCTTTTTTCCCGTTAAACGGCCTCAACCGAGCGCGGTCCCGCGGCCGCTCCGCCTCTGCCGGGGCTTCTCCCTGTTCTCCCTGCCGCCGGCACCGCCGCTCGTTTTGTGCCTTTTCTCCCACCGAAACCCCGTGCCGGAGCTCGGAGGGAAGGAAACAAAAATTCGTTAAAACGAAGTAAAAAGGGTAAAAAACCCGAATTAAAAACCCCCCGGTTGTTCGTTTGTATTTATCCGCGGTGCGGCTGGAGCGCTTGGTTTGTTTGTTTTCTTTTTCACACCCCCGCGGCCGTTCCAGCAGCACCGAGGGCAGCGAGGAGCTGGGGCACCCCCTGTGCCCGGCACCTTCCCCGGGCCCCTTTTTGGGCTGGGGACGGGGGGGAGAAGCAGCCGCGGGTGGGGGGGCCCGGCTGGAGGCGTGGGGGCTGCGTGGGGCTTTGTGCGGGCCGGGGGGGCCGCATTGTTCACCGCGCTGTGCACGCCCGCACTCACACTCACACTCACACTCACACTCACACTCACCTCGTGTCCCCCCCCGCCCCAATAATACGGAAATTTCCATGTCCCAGCTGCCTTCCCCTTTTAACCTTGGTATTAATTTAGGACGGATCTTTTTAAACAGCCCTGTAATGCATTCAGACGCTGCTGGAGGTTTATCTTTTTTTTTTTCTTTTTTTTTTCTTTTTTTTTTTTTTTTTTTGTACCGTGGGTTATATTTACACCCAAAACAAAATAATTACACTTTTGTTGGCGAGAGAAAGCTGGTGATTAGACTGTGGCTCTTTGCAGCAAACCCTTTCTCAGTGGTACACCAGGACAATTTTTCACGGCTGGGTGAAATCAGACGCGGGAGGTAATGAATCCTGTGAGCTATTTAAATTTACAATTTGTAACGCAGTCACTCAGAAACGCCTATGGCCCGGCGAGGAGATGCTTGCTGGGTTTGTTTAATGTTAAAACCTGCCCCGTCCCCCCTCTTACCAGGGGAAAGGAGGGGAGCGCGGGGGGAGCGGCCCCGCGGAGGAGCGCGGAGGCCGCGGAGCCGCCGCCTCCCACCGCGCCCGGGCTCGGCATCCTCGGGCCGGCCGGAGCCGCGGAGCCCGGCCCCGCTCCGCGCTCCGTGCCCGGCGAGATCGCCGCCTACAACCCCAAAAATAGTTGGGAATATCTACGGAGTCGGCGGCGGAGCATCCGAACAGATAGATAATTAATTACAAAACACAGGGGGAATATGCAAACCGCGTATTACAAATTCTACAGGGCTTAACTGATTGGAAACAGATTATTATCTTGTTTGTCTTTTGTCTGTTTCACTTATCCCTCTGCCGTCTGTTGTGTTGTAAATTGATACACTTTATTCTTGAAAGGGGATTTTTTTTTTCCTTTAATAATATAGTAAATTCCATCAACATCTTGTATAAGCGACGCTGCTTCTCCACGCATTACCCTGTTAAAGCACAAAAGGTTTATTAGTTACATATAGGCGGTCTTACGGGCCCTGAATTACCATCTGTTCCCGTGGGGGAATGTGGCCGGGGGGAGTTTCTTGGGGCTCGGGGTGGCTTTTCCCCTCCTCCCTTTCCCCTTGGATTTATTTATTCCTCGACTTTCAAACGAAAAAGGAACCGGGGGCGGCCGCGGGGAGCAGGGGACGGGCTGGGGGTCCCCGGCTGGGGGTCCCGGCTGGGTGGAGGGGACAGAGGGTGGCGGGGAGGGAACCCACGGGGGTGTGCGTGGGCAAAACCAACAGCGCGGGTGCCGCTCCCGCACCCAGCAGGGCCAATCCATACAGCCCAGATTATCCATAGGTTATCCATAGGGTACAGCCGCACTCCCGCTCTCGGCGGCGCGGCCCCGGGCAGCCCGCAGTGCCTCAGCCCGGTGCCGAGGGAGGGCACAGCCCTGCCCGGGACACGCGTGTGCCCGCGGCTCTCCAGCCCCTCGACACCCCGGCCGTGCCCGGAGCGGGGCCTGCCCGCTGCTCCCGATGCCCCGACCCCGCTCCCGTGCTGGATCCTGCCCCGAAAGCCGTGGAGGCTGCGCTGGCAGCGGGGCCCGCACATCCCCGTACACCCCATACATCCCATACATCCCCGCACATCCCATACATCCCATACATCCCCGCACATCCCATACATCCCATACATCCCATACATCCCATACATCCCATACATCCCACACATCCCATACATCCTGCACATCCCATACATCCCCGCACATCCCGCACATCCCATACATCCCATACATCCCCGCACATCCCGCACATCCCATACATCCCCGCACATCCCATACATCCCATACATCCTGCACATCCCATACATCCCATACATCCCCGCACATCCCATACATCCCATACATCCCGCACATCCCGCACATCCCATACATCCCGCACATCCCATACATCCTGCACATCCCCACACATCCCGCACATCCCATACATCCCACACATCCCATACATCCTGCACATCCCCGCACATCCCATATATCCCATACATCCCATACATCCCGCACATCCCATACATCCCACACATCCCATACATCCTGCACATCCTCGCACATCCCATACATCCCATACATCCCGCACATCCCCGCACATCCCAAATTCCCCAGGAGCGCCCAGGGAATGCCGCAAACTTGGGCAGAGAGCGGCCGCGATCGGCCCCGGCTCCGGTCCCTCCTCCTCCTTCTCCTTCCCGTGCCTTCGATTTCTTGCCCGTTTCTCCCCTTTTAAACTCGCTGCAGTTTTCATTTCCTTTCTTCTCTCTTCCGTGGCTTTTTTTCCTTCTGTCTTTGTTTTCTTTTCTTCCTGCTCCTCTTCCTTGCTCCCTCTCTCTGGCGCTTTTCCTTCGCCCTTCCCTTTTGGTTTCCATTCTTTTCTATTCTAGCCGCTCTTTCTGTATTTTTATTTCTTTCCTCCGTTTATTTTTCCTTTTCCCTTCTTTTTCCTTCATTTTCCCCCATCTTCTTCCTTGCCTTCTTTATTTCTATGCAAATTTTCTTTCGTTCATTTATTTCTTCTTTCTTTGCTTCTTTGCCTTTCTCTTTTTTCTTCGTTTTTCTGTGGTTTTCCTCTGTCTCTCCTTAGCTTCTTTTTCGTTTCCGTTAATTTATTTTTCCTCATTCTCTTTCGTTTCCTTTCCCTTTCTCTATCTCTTTTTTTTTTCCTGCATACATTTCTCCTTTTTCCTCCTGTGCTTTTCCTCTTTTTATTTCCCTTTTCCTTCTCTTTTATTTTTCCTCCCTGAATCTCTTCTCTCTGTTTATTTTCTCATTTCGATCTCCCTCTTTCCATAAACATCCCTACACACAAAACCTGCTCCACTTCCCGCCGATGGAGGATTTGTTAGGATTTTGACATGAGGCTTTTCTGGGGTTTTTTTTGTTGTTTGGGTTTTTTGGGGGTTTTTTTGCCATTACCAGGAGCATTTCCCAGCGCCAGGAGGCTCCACAGCCACGGGTTATTTCGGGCCGGAGCGGTGGAAAATATATTTTTTTTAAGTATATATTTTTAATATAAAAATACAGGGATTTTGGTTATGGAAAACGACGGGGAATGGGAAGGAATGTTCGGCCTTCACCTGCCCCGCCGCTTTCCTCCTCCTCCTCCTCCTCCCCGCACGGCCGGACCCCAGCGCTGCCTCGTCCCCTCCCGAAACCCGCGGGGAACGGAGGCAGAGCTGCCCCGGCCCCAGGCTGGATCTTCCTCCCCAAACCCCCCGAGCCCAGGCCGGGGCCGGCGCTGCCCCTTCCCTCCCGCGGGGTCTCGGCTCCGCCGCACCTGGAATTAAAGAGAAATCTCAGTGTGGGAGGGGGCGCGGCCGCCGCCCCCCGGGCCGGGCCGGCCCCGCTCCTGCCGCGGGCAGCGGGGAAGGGCCCGGGGGACAAAGCGCGGGGATTCGGGGGGGCCGCGTACCTCCGGGGGAACTTTGCATCCCGCTCCGCTGCGGGAAGGAGCCCCCGGCCTCCTCCCCATCCCCACCGCCCCCTCCCCCCTCCCAAATCAATCCCCCTCCCCTTCTTTTTCCCACTTGTTGCTCTTCCAGACAAAAGCCTCTCTTCCCCTTGCGCAAAACAAAATAAACCCCCCAAAACCTGGCGATGCTCTTGCCCCCGAGCAACTCGGGACCCCGCAACTCCTCCCCGAGCATCCCTTCAACAGAAATGAATGCAAACGAAAATAAAAATGAAAGGAAAAAACGGCGGGCCAGCGGATTTTCGGCCTTGCCCCCCCGGCCCCCCAGCCAGGTGCGTACTCACTTCGCGGCCCAGGTACAAGCCACCCTCAACAATAGAGGCGCGTTGTTTTTTTCCCTCTGTGCCAAGCACAAGGCTGGAGCCAATTTAGATATGCTATAAATTAAGAGGTTGCCATGGTTACCCCCCAACCATTGGCCGCATCCCGGGTGACGCTGCCCTCGGCGTCACCAAATCTGAATAAGGATGCGCGAATTACTAAGGCGGGGGACAAAGCTGGCGATGGGGACAGCATGAGAGTGGCGGCGCGGCGGCGGCGGAGCACAGCGAGGCACCGGGGCTGCCGGCTGCAGGGGGGGGTTCATGCACCCCTCCCGCCGCGCCCGCTGCCGCAGACCCCGCCAGCAGCGCGGCCGCCGCTCCGCCGCCTCCCGGGCCGCTCCGCACGCACCGGAGGAGGCCGATTTCGGGGGCTCTTTAGTATTATTGTTGTTATTATTTCTCGGGGGTGGTTTGGATTATTCTTGGGGGGGGCATCGTTTTTTCCCTGCCGTCGTCGAGGCTCCGGAGAGAAGAGGGGGAAGAACTTGACAGCCGCCCCGCTGCCCTCCCCTGAATTTTTTGTTGTTCCTGCTTCTATATTTTGTTAATTTTTGTTTTGCTTCGTTCGGGTTTTATTTTCCTTTGGGTTTTTTATTTTTATTTTATTTTTATTCTCCTTTATTTTATTCCGTTTTAATTTATTTGATTTCTTTTCATTTCCTTTCATTTGATTTTCATTTTTTTCCTTCCTTTTTTTTTTCCTATTTTATTTTATCTTTCTATTCTTTTCCCCCGCTTTTTTGTTTGTTTGCTTGTTTGTTTGTCTTGGGGGGATTTTTTTGTTTGGTTTTGTTTGGTTTTGGGGTTTTTTTTCTTTTTTTGCCGCCGCCGTGTGCCGGCGCGGGGCTGGCTTCTCCTTTTGAGCGTCTCCATCCCCCGGCGGAGGTTATGATGGTGCATTGTGCGGGCTGCGAGAGGCCGATTTTGGACCGCTTCCTACTGAACGTCTTGGACAGGGCATGGCACATCAAATGCGTCCAGTGCTGCGAGTGCAAGTGCAACCTCACCGAGAAATGCTTCTCCAGGGAAGGGAAACTCTACTGCAAAAATGACTTTTTCAGGTGAGTCCTCACCCCCACCCCAGCGGGGAGCGGAGGGAGCGGAGGGAGCGGAGGGAGCGGAGGGAGCGGAGCTCTTCACAGCGCTCGGCCTCCCTGGGGTTTCCCCCGGAGTTTTGGGGAGCTCAGGGGGTCCCCTCCGGTCCCTCCCTGCTCCGTCGGAAGCAGCCCCGGGCCGGGGGAGCCCCGGGGGGACCCGGCGGCCGCTGCTGCAGCCCGGGCTGGGGGCGGCGCGGCTGTGCCCCCTCCCCATCTCCCCGCACCTTCCCCCGCCAGCCCCGGCCCCGCTCCGCCGCTGCCACCGCCCGTCCCGCGGCTCCGGGCCCCGGTGACACCGAGCACCGGCCTGGCAGCCCCGGCTCCCCCCGGCACCGCAGGCCCCGCTGGAAACGGTGCCCAAACCCGCCCCCCCCCGGGGCCCCGCACCTTAAACGCCCCTAATGAGCGCGATAAGGGCCGGGAGGGAATTAGGGGCCGGTATGGCAAGGGGGGGCCGTGACTTATGGCTCCTAATGCTGGCACTACATCAACGTCACGGCCAGCAGCGACACGGGCACCGCTGCTGCCGCGGCCCGAGGGGGAAAAGGGGGACCCTGCGTGGGCACCCCAGGGCCTGGCAGCCCCCGGGGACCTCGGGGACAGCCCCTGCTCCCTGTTCTGCAGGCAGATTTTTTGTTTCTGTGAGGGTTTTTTGTTTGTTTTGGGGGTTGATTTTATTTTTTGTTTGTTTTTTTCATTTTCTTTGTATCGCTTTCTTTTTTGTTTGTTCAGTTGGTTTGGGGGGCTTTGTTGGAATTTTTTTTGTTGTTGTTTTATTTTGCCGTGGGTTTTATGTTTTGTTCTTGTTGCTTCTTTTTTTTATTTTTTTTGGTGGGGATTTGGGTTTTGTTTTGTGGGGTTTGTGGCAGGTTTTGGTTGTTTGGTTTTGTCTCTTTTTATTTCCTTTTTTTTTTTTTTTTTTTTTCCCTTGGGAGACTTTTCCCAGTCGATTCGGATTCCCTGGAATTTTTTTTCTTTTCTTTGTTTTTAATTTTTAAAAAATCTCCTGAAAAAAAAAAAAAAACAAAAACAAAAAACACAAAACCAAAAAAAAAACCAAACAACAAAAACACACCTAAATCCAGACCCGCTCTGGGAAGGAAAGGAAAACCAGAGATTTATAAAGCACTCTGCCCGACCTGAAAAAATTCCCTTTCGGGAGAGCGGGACGGGCTGGGGAGTGGATGGGGGATTTGGGACCATGGGACGCTTTGGGGAGCGCAGCTCCCTCCTCCCGCCGTTGTTGTGATCCCCGCTCCTGCCGCTCCTTTCTCCGTCTCTCCGGCCGTGCTCAGCCCCATTTTCGGGGATTTTCAGGCCGGAGCCCGCGTTCCCCTCCCGGCTGAACCCAAATCCTGCCCCGCCGAGTGCGGGGGGACCCCCGGCCGCTCTCCCCTCCCGCGCGTCCCTTCGGGGCCAAACCCGGCCGAGGATGTTGGTGCGTGTCCCCCGCGCGTGGGGACAGCCCAGCCTCGCGCTGTGCCCGCAGCCCGGCCCCAGGGCTGGCGGGGATGAAGGCTCTCCTCATCCTCGCCCCACAGCTGCGGTTCGCCTGCTCCCCCAGATCTTCCATGGGGACGTGCTGGGGAAGCGGGGCTCCCGCGGGGGGCTTGAGGACGGGGGGGTCGGTACAGAGCACACACACAGCCCCCGCCGCAGCCCAGCCTGGCCGGGGCTCCAGCTCTCGCTTTTCTCCCCTTCCCAGGAGGTTTGGTACCAAATGCGCCGGCTGCTCCCAAGGGATCTCTCCCAGCGACCTCGTCCGGAAAGCCCGGAATAAAGTGTTTCACCTGAACTGTTTCACCTGCATGGTCTGCAACAAGCAGCTCTCCACGGGCGAGGAACTCTATATCATCGACGAAAACAAATTTGTTTGCAAAGAGGATTATTTGAACTCTCCCAGTTTGAAGGAAGGCAGCCTCAACTCAGGTACGAGCGGCTCAGCCCGCCCACCGCTCCGTTCCCGCCGCCGGTTCCTCCGGGCCGGGCAGGAGCTTTGGATTTGTGGGGTGAGGGGTCAGCCCGACCCCCCGGCAATCCCCGGCCCCGGCCCCGGCAGGACGGGCAGCGCCGAGAGCGCCGGGCACAAGCCCCGAGCTGCCGGTACCTCCCGGTTCGGATCTGTGGGATGAGCGCTGCACCCCGCAGCCCGTCGGGGGAGGGAGCGATGCGGGGTGAAAGGCTTGGAAGCGGGTGGAAGCCTCTGTGACACCCCCCGTGGGACGCGCACACGCGTGGGGCGAGCTCCCCGCTCCAGCCGCGGCTCCTGCTGATCCAGCGGGGCTGCGGGGCGGGGGGAGCCGCGATCCCCCCGAGGGCTGCCCCGGGAGCCCCTCACTCCCCAGAGCCCCCTGCGAGTGCGGCCGCTCCCCCCGCGCCGCGGGCCTGATCCTTCGCCTCCTTTCACCCAGAGGCAAAGCTCCCATTTGACTTCCTTGGAAGCTGTCTCTGCGTCAGGAGAGCAGGGCCAGGCCCCCTCCTGCTGTCCCAGCCATGCCGGGCGCCCCTGCTCACCCCCTTCCGTGGGCTCTCTCTCCGTCCAGCACCCGGGGCCGGATCCTGCCACGCCAGTCAGTGGGGCCGCTGCTGTGAGCGAGGCGAGTAGAGCTTGGCCTTGGGGGGGTGCTGGCTGCAGGGTCCCCGGGGGGAACACGGTGCCTGGGGGCGGGGGGGTGAGCCAGGCTCGAGGCAGCGACCGGGGGGCTCCCCAAAGCCCGACAGGGACCGGCTGCGTTTTTCCCGGCACGGGGATAGAGGGGGAGCGCGGGGGGCAGCGCGGGTACGGGGGTCACCCCCTGCCCAGCTCCCTCCACAGGGCTGGAGCGGTGCCCGGAGCTCCTCGTGCTGTTGGGGGGCGATGCTTTAGGGGAACCAGGGGGGCAGAGGCCGTCTGCACCCCTTGCTGCTCTCCAGCACCCCCCAACCCCTCTCCGGGAAAGCAGGCGGGCCGGGGGGACAGAGGAGAGGGGGGTCAATGTCTCCCCGAAGTCATCCACCCCCCCTTTCCTCTCTGGGTCTCCTTTACAGTGTCCTCATGTACAGACAGGAGTTTGTCCCCGGATCTCCAGGACCCCATGCAGGACGACACCAAGGAAACGGACAACTCGACCTCCTCGGACAAGGAGACCACGAACAACGAGAACGAGGAGCAGAACTCGGGCACCAAGCGGAGGGGGCCCCGCACCACCATTAAAGCCAAGCAGCTGGAGACCCTCAAAGCCGCCTTCGCCGCCACCCCCAAACCCACCCGCCACATCCGGGAGCAGCTGGCCCAGGAGACCGGCCTCAACATGAGAGTGATCCAGGTAGGACAGACAGACCGCCGGGGGGCACAGGGGGTCCCGGGGGGGAGCACGGGGGGGTCCCAGGCTGTGACAGTGGGGACGGGCCAACCCCATTTGTCCCCTTCCAGCGCCACCTCAAGCCCAGCCCTGCGGCCCCCCCACGCTCTCGTGGGTGAGCGGGGATCCCCCAGCCGTGGGAAGGGATGAAACACGAGGCGTTTCATTCCCAACACGCGAGGGTTTGCGCGGGGCCGAGCAGGATCCCGGCGTGCCGGGAGATGGATGCTCCAGCCTTGCATCCATCGCGCTCTGCAGGCAGCCGGCACTTCCTCACCGCGCTGCCCCCGTGAAGAAAATCCCTGCGGAAATGTAGGGATTAATGGGCTTTAATAGAGGCATTAATAGGGGAGGACTCTCCGGCTTTGCCGGTAGCGGAGCTGCGGTTCCCGGCTCCTGGCAGAGTCCCGCAGGAGCGCGCTGTGCTCGTCCCCCTGAGCTGCCCCATCCCTGGGGGAGTGAGACAATAATCCAGGCGCCCCACCAGGCTGCTGAGGCGTGAGCTTTCGGAGAAGCAATGCCCGTGGAGAGGCGGCCACATCTCCCCTTTCCCTTTTATTCCCACCCTCACCGCCGGCTGTTCTGAATCCCTGCCTGCTGCCGCAGGTGCTCATCCCCCTGCTCTCCGCTTTCTGCCCGCTCCTGCCATGATCCAGATCCCCTTTTTTCCTTCCCGCGTTTCCTCCCTTCTTTCCCTTATCCATGGGGGAAATTTCCCCCTCCTGCATTTTCCATCTGCAGGGGCAGAGAGGTTGAGGGTGTGCAGCTGCAGGAAGGAGGAGCAGGGTTTTAAATAACCTGGTTATTTGTGGGGTGCGGTGTCCCCATGTACTTTTTGAGCAGCAGCAGGAAAGGGGGTCGGTATTGGTAAAAAAAAAAAAAAAAAAAAAAAAAAAAACAAACCAAACAGATACTGGAAAACCCCGTGTGGGTGCAAGATTTCCCCAGGGATGGGATGTCGGTGACCCAGAGGGGTCCCTGCTCGCCCATCCGCGGCGGGCACTGACAGCAGCCCGGCCACAGGTGTGGTTCCAGAACCGTCGGTCGAAGGAGCGGCGGATGAAGCAGCTGAGCGCGCTGGGCGCCCGCCGGCACGCGTTCTTCCGCAGCCCCCGCAGGATGCGGCCCCTCGGCGGCCGCCTCGACGAGTCCGAGATGCTCGGCTCCACGCCCTACACCTACTACGGAGGTGAGGGACGGTCCCTGCCCTGTCGCCCTCGTGTCCTTTGTTCCTCCCATCCCGTTCCCCGCGGGTGTCCCCGTTTCACACGCGTGCCCGCAGCACACGCGCAGCCGGCTCCACGCACCCCCCGGCATTGCGGGGCCCCTCTCCCGCGAACAAAGCCCCAGCTGCGGGGCTTTTGTCCCCCTTTCAGGCCGCATTTGTTGCAATTACCTCGCGGGCCCGCAGCATATGGAGGGTCAGTGCGGGCCGGCCCCGCTGTCCCGGCGGGGCGGGATGGGCGCAGCGGGGCGGCCCCGCAGAGCCTCCCCTCTCCCCCTGCTCCCCGCACAGCCCCCCCTGAAGCTGCCTTTTCAAAGCCTCCCATCTGACCAGCGGCTTTCCAGGCACCCCTTGTTGCCCTGCAGTTAGTTCCTAGATCACTTCCAAGCTGCTTAAACACATATATTAATTCCACATTATATATATATATATTTAATGTATTTTTCCTGCTATATATAATTTCCCCAATGTACATATATATTTTCCCATTATATACATTTTTCCCGTTTTACATTCATTTTTGCCCGTTCTTTTTATATCTATATTTTCCCCATTCCCCTTTTATATACACATATATAAATATATATGCATATATATATGCATGCTTTTTTTTTTTTTTTTTCTCCCATTAATTAAGCACTTAACTGAGCCCATTTTCCCGGCCCCCTCACCTCTCCCAGCCCGAATTCTCTGCCCTCCCTCACTCCAGGCTGGGCAAAGAGAGGGTGATGGGCAGTGCAGCTCTTAGGATGGGTTCATTCCTCTCTGGTTGGATTTAAATCCCACCCGCCCTTGAAGGCCCCTTTGGGAGCCAGCAGAGCGTTTCGGAGGGGACAGCGAGGGTTTGGGGCGCAGAGGGATTTCAGGAGACCAAATCCATCCATTTTCCCCTCTCCCCACAGATTACCAAGGTGACTACTACGGGCCGGGAGGCAACTATGACTTTTTCCCCCACGGGCCGCCCTCCCAAGCCCAGTCCCCGGCCGACTCCAGCTACCTTCAGAACTCAGGACCCGGCTCCACACCCCTGGGACCCTTGGAGCCCCCCCTAAGCGGACACCACTCCTCAGAAAACCAAAGGTACACGGATATGATCTCGCACCCCGACACCCCCAGCCCCGAGCCGGGCATGACGGGCTCGCTGCACCCCATTCCGGGGGAGGTCTTCAGCGGGGGCCCCAGCCCGCCCTTCTCCATGTCCAGCAATAGCGGCTACAGCGGGGCTCTCTCGCACCCCAACCCGGAGCTCAGCGAGGCGGCGGTGTGGTAGGCCCGGCCCGGGCACGCGTGTGCGTGTGTGCAGGGGGGAGAAAACCCCCCCTGGTCCCCCCAGCCCACGCGTGTCCCCCTCCTCGCCCCGCAGCAGGGGCCGCTGGAGCCCCCCCGACCGCATTCCCGGCATCTCCGCCCGTCCTGCCCATCCCCGCGCCCCCGGGAGCTTGGGGCCACCCCGCTACCTCCCCCCTCCCGGCACCTTCCCCCCGACGCTTTTTGGGGGGCAGTGAAGGGTGCCCAGCCCTGCAGACCCCGCCGGAGTCGGGCCCAGCGCCTCTCGGACCAAAGCTGAACTCGCCTGGACACGGGTCCCGCACCGGGGGAGGGGCTGCGGCAGGGCTGCCCCCTGCTAATTAGCGTCCTTTTTAATTATCCCCGGCCACAGGAAGGGGGGGAATGGGGAATAGCAGGAATAACCCCCCCCCGTGGCCCCTCCCTGGCCTCGTTTTTATTGTTCCCGTTTGACCCCCGAGGAGAAGGTGGGTTCGGAGCCGGATTTTGGCGGTGGGGAGGAGGGGGCTGAGCGGGGCCAGGCCCCAGTGACTGGCTGAGATTGGGCTCCCACGTGGTGGAACAGACGCCAGAAAGAGGCAGAAACAGGAAAAAAAAAAAAACAACACAACAACAACAACAAAATAAAACCCCAACCAAACAATAAAAATAAACCCCCGAACTAAACCAACCCAAACCACGGCAGCAGAAATTTCACCCGAGCCTCGACGCCGAGTCCCACCCCAACGATTCCCAGAGGCTCCGCCAATTTAAGGATGTATTATAGTTTTTGCTTCTAGTTTCTTTATTTTGTATAAAGGAGAAACAAATAAAGTATGTTTTTGTGTTTACTGATTATTTATTGTACTTTAGTCATCGGAGGCTCCGAATTTTTTCTATTTTGAAGGCAGGGAGGGGATGGCACCGGGGAGGGGGGGGGTGAGAGCATAGAGAGAGGGGGGGAAATAAAAGGAAGGAGAATGGAAAAGGAAAGAAAAAAAAAAAGTTGTTTTCTGAAAGCGTCGTGGGTTTCCTGTCCCCGCTGCCTCTTGCGGAGGCTGTTAGTGTGAATGGCTCTTGTTGTTCAATGTGAATAAAAAACCTTTTAGTTACCTACTGTTCGGTCACCTGGTCCCTTTCATTTTACTTTATTTTGATTTGTTTTAACACAAGCCCGTGAGGAACGCTGGCCGGGCTCCCCCACCGTCCCTCTGCCCTGGGTGAGAGATGTGCACCTGCACAAGGTGATGCTGCTGCTGCAGCCCCCAGCTCTCCCCAGCTCCCCCCAGTTCCCCCCAGTTCCCCGGCACTGGGAAGGGGCACATTACCCAGCTCAGCCCCTTGCCCACAGCAGACAGCACAATGCACAATTTCTTTCTCCTGGGGAGCACCCAAGAGCCTCCCAGGGCAGCCCAGGGGCACCTGAGCCCCGCTGGCAGAGCAGCCCCGGGGGGACACCCCAAGCTGGGGTTCAGCAGTGCCAGCCGCAGATTTTGCCCCATTTTCCCTGGACGGGGTCTCCTCCCCAGCACCCCAGCTCACTCCCCTTCTCTCCTGCTTTCTATCCTTTGAGATATAAACATAAAAAGTCCCAGGCAGGCTGCAGCTCTGAACTAATATTTAAAATGCAAAATCATGGCAGAGTTTTTCACCCCCCCCCCCCCGCCACATCCTCCCCCCGTCCCCCCCGCTCCTTGTCTTGCAGTAAAACGATATAAACAGAATAAATTACCTTCCCTTGCTGGCTTACCAGAGTCCCTCTCTCCTGACCTGAATTTTAAGTCCTGGCTCGGTTGTAGCAGGGAGCAGCGATGATTTATGGAAAGCCAGCCACAGCTCTGCATATTTTCTCTGTTCAGCCAAGTGCTGGAATTTATCCTTCCCATACCATTACTGGCATTAATAACGGGGTGGCCAAGGAGCCACACTGAGTCCCGAGTCAGCCCTCAGACAGGAGCTGGGGCCAGCACAGACACTGGGGTTCCCTCACCCCCCATCCCCAAGAAAAACACCTTCTCCCCTTTTCCCAAACGGGGAAACTGAGGCAGGAGCACAGCTGGCTGCTCCAGCACTCCCAGGCTGTCAGTGTTAGCAGGCAATGGGGAACTTTCATAAGGGCAGGGTGATGTGTTGGTAAATAACCCACTCACAGCATCATTTTGGGGAGTAAAAAATGGTCAATCACAGGGTGAACACTGGTTGCTATTATTATTATTATTATTATTATTATTATTATTATTATTATTATTAATTCAAAATTCAAGGCACAGAGCTGAGGGCTGCTGAGACACCTCATCTGTGATACCTGGACAGAAGAGGCTGCAGGAGGGGTTGGGGATGATGCTCCAAGCTGCCACCTCCCAGGAGGATGGGACTCAGCAGGAGCAGCCATCAAAGCAGGGAAGATCCCAAGGAATGATCCCCTGGCACAGAGGAGCTCTGCAGCTCCGAGCCGGGTGCAGGAGCCCAGCCCGGGCTCCCCATCACCCCGGAGGTGCCAGGAAGGCAGCAGCACCCAGGATTCCTGCCTGTCTCCAGCTGCAGAGCGACCACAGCTCAGGGGTGCTCCAGCCACCCTACACCCGACATCCCTGCCAGGCACATCCACAGCCCCCAGCTGGCACCCAAAGGCCAGGGGAAGGCAAGGAGGGGAAAAGCTCCCTCTGGGTCACCCCAAACCCCCCAGTCTGCCCGTGCCACCCCCAGCAATGACCCTTCTGTGCTGAGGAATCACCATGGGGAGCTCCTGGCTGCCCTGACCCCACCCCGAGCAGAATCACGGGAATAAATTCCTTTTTAAAGCTATTCAGTTTTGTTTTGTTTTTCTTTTCCTGACCTTCTTGCCTTTTTTTTTTTTTTTTTGGGAAAGGGGAAGGTCTGCAGAAGGTGGAAAGTAATCAGGTTTTGGACCTGGGATAAAAAATAGCCAGAGTAGGTTGGGCTGACTCCTTATAATTAATAGTGTGCCTCGTAATAGGATTCTCCAGCCTTCGGTGCTCCCTGGAAACACCTTTTTACATAAGGTATTGCTCACGGTGGAGTGGCAGAGCTGTGATTTATGGGGGTTTGGCCTCCACGAAGCACCTGGGAAGGTGGCCCGAGCGGTGGGAGGTACAGGGCAAGGGGCTGAGGGCAGGGAGGGGCTTCAGGTCAGGATTTGTGGGGAGATGTGGGTGAGCTGCTCCTGGGGCTGACACCCTCCGGCTCCAAAGGGGAGGAGGATGAGAGGGGTTTGGGGCTGGCAAAATGCTTCTCTCCCTGTCCAACCCACAGGGCACAGGCTCAGCAGGGAATCGAGGGGCTGGGGAGAACCAGCAGGAGCAAAACCCTGCATCACCCGGAACGGGAGGAAGGAGAGGGGAGAAATGTTGGGAGGACACAAAAAGAACCCCAGGAGGCGCCACAGCAAAGGGCTAAAAGCAAACCCAGCGCTACAGAGAGAGCAGGAAAGCCCGGGGGAAAGAGAGAACGGAAAAAAGAGTGGGATGGGGGCGAAAAAGGGGTCTTAGGGGGTCTAGGATGGGGTATATCCCCTCCACATGTCAGAGCACCTCGGAGCCCGCTGGCGTTAAACCCGGCCGGGGATTCCCGTGGATTAATCACCATAACAAGAGCGCTGTTCTCGTCTGGCCACAGCCAACGTGGCAGGAACGGGAGAGGATTGTAATAATTAATAATCATTACAATAATAATGCATAAAGACAGTAGCAAAGTAATTAGTCAGAGAGGGAGCGTTTGCTAATTGAGGTGGGGAGATGCAGCTCGAGCAGCCTGGGAGGAGCACGGGGAGGGAGGAGAAGGGGCAGAGGAGAATACCTGGCACGTCCCAGGGGAAAAATTGAATGTGTGAGGGCCCCAGTCCCCCCTCAGCACAGGCACCACCCTGAGCCTGCACTTCTACCCCCGTGCCTCAGTTTCCCCACCCCTGCATGGGCGCTGTGTGCTGCAAAAAGCTGCGTGATGGGAGCCCCCCCATCCCCAGGCTTTATTCCGGTTCTTTGTGAAGGAAAGCGAGCAGAGCTGCCGGGCGGGCTCTGCCACAGCCGTGCCCGGTGTCACTGCAGCCCCAGCTGGCTCTGGAGGGCCCGCAGCTGGGCCGTGTGGATGTTGCTGCCGCCGCACACCACGAGCAGCACGGAGCGCAGCGGGCTCGGCAGCCGCCCCTCGCTCTGCAGCCGCTGCAGCCGCCCCGAGTACAGCACGGCCAGGGGGGCCCCGCACGCCGGCTCCACCAGCACCCGCTCGTCATCTGCGGGGACAGAGAGGGGACGTGCGGCACCCACCGAGCGACAGCTCGCACGGCACCCGGCGGCCCCGGCACCCGGCGGTGTCCCCGTCACCCTGACCCCGGCGGTGTCCCTGTCACCCTGATCCCAACAGTGTCCCTGCCACCCTGACTCCAGGGTCCAGCGGTGTCCCTGTCACCCTGACCCCAGAGTCCCCAGAGCCCAGTGGTGTCCCCGTCACCCCGACCCCGGCGGTGTCCCTGTCACCCTGACCCCAACAGTGTCCCTGTCACCCCGACCCCGGCAGTGTCCCCGTCACCCCGACCCCGGCAGTGTCCCCGTCACCCTGACTCCAGAGTCCCCAGAGCCCAGTGGTGTCCCTGTCACCCCGACCCCAACAGTGTCCCCATCACCCCTGACCCCAGTGCCTGGTGGTGTCCCTTTCACCCTGACCCAGGCTCTGGCGTTGTCCCTGTCACCCCGACCCCAGTGCCCCCAGGGTCAAGTGGTGTCCCTGTCACCCTGACCCCAGCAAACCCAGAGCCCGGCTGTGTCCCTGTCACCCTGACCCTGGCAGTGTCCCGGTCACCCTGACCCCAGTGTCCGGTGGTGTCCCTATCACCCCGGCCCCGGCACCGCCAGGATCCGGCAGTGTCCCTGTCACCCCAACCCTGGCAGTGTCCCTGTCACCCCGACCCCAGAGTCCCCAGAGTCCGGTGGTGTCCCTGTCACCCCGACCCCAGAGTCCCTTGTCCCCGGCAGTGTCGCTGTCACCCTGACCCCGGCGCTGTCCCTGTCACCCCGCTCACCCAGGAACTGCTGCACAGCCCGCACGGCCTCCTCGTCCTGCACCACCTGCGAGATCACCTGGCACTCCCGGGCACACTGCAGCGCCCGCGCCGCCACCGTCTTGGCTCCCAGGCAGGTGGCCACGCTGGGACGGCAGGGGACAAGGCGGTCAGGGCGAGGACACCGCGGCGAGCCCTGCCAGCTCCCTGCACGCCCGGCTGCTCACCTGGTGATGTCGGGCAGGGTGACGAGCCGGCCGGCTTTGAGCGCCTCGTGGAAGCTGTGAGCGCCCAGCGTCTCGGCGGCGATGATGGGGACATCCTGCCAGCCCACCTGCTGCAGGCCGGCCACCACCCCGGCCAGCAGCCCCCCGCCACCCACCGCCACCACGATGGCCCCGGGTTTGGCCTCCAGAGAGTCCTTCAGCTCCCGGACCAGGCTGGCGTGGCCCTCCCTGCAGGGGGAGGAGCTGGGGATGCAGCCCGGGGGCTCCCCGGGGATGGGGACAGGGGACAGGAGCTGGGGATGCAGCCCGGGGGCTCCCCTGGATCCCGAGGACAGGGACAGGGGGCAGGAGCTGAGCCCTGGCAGCACTCACCACACCAAGGGGTGGTCGAAGGGAGGGATGATGACCCAGCCCTCTGTCTTAGCCAGCTCCTGGGCTCTGCTGTTGGCATCATCCCACACCTGGTGGGGGCAAGGGGGGGCTCAGCAGGGCTGCACAGAGCCCTCAGAACCCCGGGTGGGTCCCGTGTCCCTGCGGGGCTGGGGGACACCAGAACGGGTGAGGGCTCCCAGGGTGGCCCTGCTGTGATGCTGGGGATGCAGGAGGGGACATTTCAGGATGGGGTTTGCCAAGCACCAATGAGCAGCTGAGGTCAGGCTCAGCCCTCTCTGGACACCCCCAGACCCCATTTTTGGGGGTACCTTGCCGTAGACCTCGACGGTGGCCCCCAGTTCCTGCAGTTTGCGCACGGGGGTGGGGCCGCTGCTGCTGGGCACCACCACGGTGATGGGCAGGGCCAGCTCCCGGGCCGCGAACGCTGCTGCCAGCCCCGCGTTCCCTCCTGCCCAAAGGGAGGGGGCTCAGCCACGGCTCGACCCCCCCGCGCATCCCCGCATTGCTCAGGAGCATCCCCCGGCTCGGGGTGGAGTTACCTGAGGAGCAGACGAAGCGCCGGCAGCCCTTCCTGGCAGCCTGAAAGGAGAGAAAGAGGCGAGGGGACGGCTGTGTGCCCCCACTGTGCCCCCCGCGAGGGCAGGAGCACCCCCCGCACACCCTGTGCCCGCACTCACATCCTGGCACAGGTGCCCGATGCCCCGGATCTTGAAGGATCCCGAGGGCTGGACGTTCTCCATCTTCATGAAGACCTTGGTTCCCACGGCCTTGGAGAGGGACAGGCTCTCCAGGACGGGTGTAACGACGTGGAAGGGCTTCTGGGGCTTCTGCCCCCCGACTGGCTGGGCTGCCATGGCCTGACAAGGGATGTTCTGCCCGGGAGAGGCGGTGGAGTCACCAGCTGCTCCCCAGGGTACTCCCCGATGAGGACGGGGCTGTCCCCAGTGTCCCCTCCATGTCTAGGATGCAGCAGCTCTCCCTGGAGGATCCCAGGACAGGCTGTGCCAGCCCCTCCTGCACCCTCGCGGTGTCCCCAGGTGCACAGCCTGGCCTGTCCCCAGGCTGGGGTTACCTGCTGTCCCGTGGGATGTCCCCGCTTGTCCTCGCCCGCCGCCGAGCCTGCGGCACACAGAGGCACAGGTGACGTCCGAGGGGCCGTGCCGGTGTCCCCAGGTCGCCGTGCTCAGTCATGCAGAGGGCAGGGGGCAGGGCTCGGACATTGCCCCGGCTGCTCGCTGTTTGCTCAGCCCTGCGCGGGTTTTGCAGCCTGCAGCGCTGCCGGTGACCCGCGGGGACAAACACGTGTGGCCCTGCCAGCTCGCACATGCCCGGGAAACGGGATGTGGGCTCCCAGGAGATGGGGGAAGAGGAAAGGCAGCTCACAAAATGAGTTTGGGGGCCCTCAAGGGTTTGCAGTGAGTATTATCTGGTTCAGACAAAAACACGTCCCAGCAGATTTTAGGATTTTTGCCCTGGTGTAGCCAGAGCAGCCTGCACACCCCAAACTCCCAGCCAAAACACCTCTCATTGCCTCCAAAAGAGCCATCACACCCCTCTGCTCACCCTGCCAAGCCCCCACCCCATGGCAGCCCTTCAATCCTCTCCAAGGCTCCCATCCCAGGGGGCTCAGCCCCTCCAGCTGGGGCAGACCCCCGGATGAGCCCCTCTGCTCCAGCTGGCCATGCCAGGCACCCCGAGGACAAAGATCCCTTAGGGAGGGGCTGGCCCAGACCCAAGGCCCAGCAGCCCCCAGGCAAAGCGGGCAGAGCCCCCTCCCTTCCTCTGGGACCCCTCCTTGTCACCCAGCCCTGGTGACAGCCCAGGGTAAAAGTCCTACCTCTGCTCTGAGGGGCTGGTTCTGTGCACAGCAGGCAGGGAGGAGGAGGAGGAGGAGGAGGGTGGGATCTGGAGGAAGGGCCAGCCCTGGCCCGCAGCCCCGCAGCCGCAGGAGGCTCCTCTGTTGCTCTGGCCAAGCTGGAGCAGCCTGGAAGCAGAGGGCACAAGGAGTCCTGAGGGAGGGACACTGCCCTGGGACCAACACAGGCCAAACAGGGAGCACTGGGAACCCCACAGTGTGCCCAGCTCTGCACACAGCAGTGAAAACACAATATGGGATTTTAGTGCCCTGACCCAAAGTGGGCTGCAAACCCCCCCAGAGCAGCCCTGCTGGCAGGCAGAGAGCAGGGACAGAGCTCTGGGTCTGTCCTGCTCCTCATGGGGCTGATCTTTGGGACCAACAAAACATCCCTGGGCTCCCGAGAGCAGCACGGAGCACAGCACTGCCCCTCTGCAGGGCCACGCTGCTTTTGGGACACAAGGGTCTGGAAAGGAGGGCAATGAGGAGGATTTCCTGAATGGGAGCATGAGGGGGACACAGCTCCAGTCCCTCTGGGGGCCTTTGGAGTGACCCCCCCACCTCACAGTAGGCAGAGACTGCAGTCACTTCCATGAGGGTGGGACAGCAGCAGGAGCTGGGGAGGGGTGTGAGAAGCCTGTCCCAGCTCACAGGGGTGAGGCTGGAGACCCCCTTGGGAGGACACCACACTCCAGCTCAGCCCTGGGGTGCTCCAGGGTCCTTTTGCACCCCAGAGCCACCTCCCTGTGCCTGTTCTGCTCCCCTTTGGCTCCATCCCTGCCATGAGGATGGCATGCCAGGCTGCCACCTGGTCACTTCCCTTGGCCAGCGTCCCTGGCTGACACTGTGGCAGCAGCTGGGATGGTATTTAACAACTTTTTGTTTGTTTTTCCATGTTTAAGGAAACAAAAAAAAAAAAAAAAAAAAGGGAATCAGCAACACTGTGGCATTTCCAGCATGCCCTGTTCCTCCTTGCTGCTCACCTCCCAGATGGCGATCTGTCTGGGGAAACTGAGGCACAGGGAGCCCAAAAGCAGCCCCCCCACCATGGCGACACAGGCTTACCTGCAATCTGTCCCGGCACAGCAGGGTACAGACACCCTGCCTTTCCCAGGGCACCCATCCCAGTTTTTGGGGTGCCAGCACCCCAACAACCCAGAGCTGCTCCCTCCCACCCCCCTGCAGCCCCCAGGGGCCCCCAGCCCCGGTGGGAACCCGGTGCCTTCAAAGCTCTGCCGAGGCACAGCTCATTAATCCCCCAGTAATGACCTCGTTATTCCTAACGAGCCAGAGCGGATCAAGGGAGCTGCCTAAGAGGATTTTGCACCGCGGCTTTTGGGGACGGGGCACACAGGTGCCAGAGGAAAAGAAGACAAAAGGCGTGATGAGGATGGTCTCCCACTCCTAGGGGCTGAGAGTGGGGCTCCCCCATTCCACAGCAGAGAGCCCTGCATAGCCTGCAACCCAAAAGCCTCACTGGGCACAGGGCCTCCCACCAGCAGAGCAGAAGATCACCCTGTTAATGGGGACCCCTGAGTGAGCCCAGTCCTAACAAAGCCACCACAGAACCTCAGCAGAGAGCAAAGCACAGCCACCAGCACAGAGCACTTTATTATTTACCACAGCCAAACCAGCTCACTGCCCTCCTGTCTGTGCTGAGGGCGAGCCCCAGCCTCCCAGGATGCCCCTTTTCCAGGAAGAGCCCCCCCAAACCAGGCATCAGCACCCAGGGAAGAGCCTGGAGAGCCCCACAGCAGGGAGGGGACACGCTGGGCTTGTGCAGCACAGCCAGGACCCCCAGAGGCAGAAAGAACAGGGGGGGACCCTGTTACACAGAGCTGAGACCCCCCACACCCCCAGAGGGATCCCCCACAGGACAGATGGACAGACTGGACCAGCGTCTGCTCAGTCCCAGTGGACCTTGACTGGGGGGAAGGTCCAGAGGTCGGGGTGGCCCATGTGGAGCAGGGAGCTGCAGGGGGACGTGCTCCAGCGGAAGGGTGGCACGTCATCCCAGGCGGGGCCGCTGACTGCCACCAGCCCGAAGGTGGGCACCATGCCCGAGGAGGTGACCTGCAGTGGGGACACGGAGCAGGGCAGCGAGTCAGCGCTGGGCCCAGGCTGCACAGCCCCACAAGGAGCCCCTCCCTGTGGGGAGAGCAGGGCTGCCTGGCTGGCACACCTTCATGTCGATGCCGCCGTGGCAGCGCTGGCGCAGGGCGGGGAAGGGGTAGGTGCCGTTGGCAGGGTTGAGGTCGGAGCGCGCAGAGATGGCGTTCTCGGCGTTCTGGGGGGGGTCACAGCCCCTGCACCGCGACAGGGGGTCCTGCAGGTAGTTGTTGGACCTGCAGAGGGAGGGGACAGAGCCCAGTAAAGATGTAGGAAAAGCCCACAGATCACAGAAAATCCCTTGGGGGAAGTTCCTCAGGGAATTCCGGGTGTGGGGTGCCCGGCACACACCGCATCAGGCGGATCATGGAGTCCAGGTCATGGACCTGTGTCTGGTTGCGGCGGAAGATCTGGGCACGAGGATTCTTGTCATAGGTGAACCAGTCACCATATTTCCTCACCAGCTCCAGGTTCCCACTGGTGTTGAAGATCTGCTCGAAGTACCTGGGGAGGGGGAACCCAGCAAGCTGGCACCAAGGGGGTGCAAGGTGGGCACTGCTGCCCCTCTTTCCAGGGCAGGCCTTGGGGAGAGATGGCACTCACGGCACGTTGTAGCTGGCCCAGTAACCCTGCTGGTACAGCAGCTTTGTCTGGTCAGCCACCACCACCAGACCCCTGTGCTGGGAGGAAGAGCACAGGTCAGAGCAGAGGGGGGAAAAGTCACTGGGGATAGTGGGGGGCATGCTGGGGTGGGGGGAACACACACTGGGGGTCCTCACCCCAGCCAGAGGTGCTGGGCACCCATCACCTCAGTACCAGCCCCCCCAGAGCCTTTAGCCACAGACAGCCCTAGAGCCTTTAGCCACAGACAGCCCTATTGCCCTGTGACCACCCATTGGGCTGGGCAGGCACCACCCCAGGGTTTTCCCAAACCCACAGGGATGGAGAGGAGACAGCAGGGGCTGAGGGAGGAACAGAGCCACTCACGGGATCTGCTCCAGCACTGTCAGCACGCCTGGCGCCGGGCTCGCTCTGCCCGGTGTGAAGGCATTGTAGTCCACCACCATCCATTGGTTGTTGTACCTGGCATGGAGAGCAAGGAATGCATCCCTCTGGCAGCCTGGGCACCCTCCATCCCATCCCACTGATGCCTTAAGTTTGAGCTTTTCTATGTTTCAGATTCTGTGCTGCTTTAGTGTGTAGTTCTGACCTTCATATCAGGGGATGGTGAACTCTCTTCATAGAGTAGGGAGACAAAACAATTCCTTCTCTATCTAGAGACCAAGGACAAATGATCCAAATCTCAGGCCCAAGAGCATAAACAATGGCAGAATGAAGACAGAAAAACAAGAAGGATGGGACTTCATAACCTAAAGCTATAAGTGGACAATTAACTCCAATGTGCAAATGGAGCAGAACTGATCAAAGTGAGAGACCCTGTGCCCGGTCGTGCATTTTGTGACCATTTTGGTTCATCTTGGGTGCAGCCCTGGCTGGGCTCTTGTGCTGCCCAACGTGGATCCATTGAGGCTTTTAATAAATCCCTACTTTATTTTTTAACCCTGTTGTAGGTCAGCCTTCCCAAGGCACCAGCATCCCTCCAGGCTCCATTCCCAGCCCACTCACGTGCCGCTGTTGAAGCGCTGGAATACCGCGGCCCACTCGGGCCCGCTGCGGGCCAGCCTGTTGGCCACGATGTTCCTCAGCCACTCCAGGACGCTGCCCCGGGGCTCCAGGTACTTCCACAGGGCCGGGTTGTTGTTGCCAATGGTGGTTTCCAGCGTGACCTGCAGGGCAGGGAGCGATGGGGAGGGCAGCAGGGCCGAGGGGAGGTGCCCGAGGACCAGACCCACTCACCAACCCGCTGCTGAGGATGTAGAAGTCATCCATGGAGAAGATGGTGCCGGGGTAGGAGGAGAACACCTGGACGCTCCCAGGGATCTGGGATTTGCCTGCAGGGGGGATGCAGAGCATCAGAGAGGGGGTGTGAAGTGCAGCCCCCCCAGCCCAGCCCACGCACCGCCGGCCGAGGTGCGGAAGGGCAGCGTGTACTTCTTGACCACACGCAGCATGGCCTGGTAGGAGCTCCAGGTGTCGTGGGCCACCAGCAGGTCCCGCTGGCCCGGCAGCAACTTCACCAGGGCCGAGCAGGAGCCCGAGCCCAGCACACGCTGAGGGGAGGAGCGGTTCAGGGCAGACTCCAGGTCCTCCAGGTCACCCCCCAGCTGCAGCAGCCTGGGGGGAAGCAAGGCAAAAGATGTCAGGTGAGGGGTGCCCCAGGCCTGGAGCTGAGCTGGCTCAGAGCTCTCTGTCTGTCTGTCCATATCCACCACACTCCAGGGCAGGCACTTGTGCTGAGAGCACCCTGGTAGTATGAGCATGGAGGAAAGGGGGAGCACAGCAGTGGGGAAACTGAGGCAGGGGCTGTGGGGGGAACCCACCAGCCAGCCCACGGGGTGGGGACGAAAACAACCTGCCTTAGCTCCAACCTGCCCCAGCAGCAGAAGACAAATGCCCAGAAAAGGTGGACTGGGAGTAGAACTGGCTGCTCATGGACATGGAGGAATTGTCCCCACAGCACTCCAAACCCCAGGACAACCCTCCCCCACTCTCCCCCAGCTCTGAGAAGGAGCTTACAGGAAGCCAAAGGGTGCCAGGGTGATCTTGCCCCTGGGAAAGTCCAGGCGCCCATTGTAGCTGTCCTCCAGCCCCTTCAGCTGCAGCAGGGCCAGGCGCACCTGGGGACAGGGGACAGAGCTGGCACCCGGCTCCTGCGAGGAGGCAGGCTGAGAGCTTTTGGGGGACAGGCTCCCTCATTCCCCCAGGGGACAGAGCACATCAGCTGGGTCTCAGTGCTGCTGCAGAGGCACAGGGGGGAGGTGTCACTGTCAGCAAGGTCATGACTCAGCACCCACAGCCGAGGGT